GGGGAGGGGGAGGGGGGAGGGGAGGGGTTAGGGTTAGGGTTAGGGGAGGGGGAAAAAAAGGAAAGAAAAGAAAGAGTTCCTACCCTTTGCAACAGCATGGATGGAACTAGAAAGCATTATGCTAAGTGAAATAAGCCAGGTGGTGAAAGACAAATACCGTATTATCTCACTTTTAACAGGAACCTAACAAAATAAACAAGCAAGCAAAACATAACCAAAGACACTGAAATAGAGAACAAGCTGACAGTGACCAGAGGGGAGAGGGGAGGGGATAATGAGGGAAAAGGATGAAGGGTTTACAGGAACGATTATTTAAAAAAAGGAAAAAAATTAAAAAGATCATTGTATTCCACAGAAAAGAATGTTATTTTATTATAAAGCTCTGAACAAACCATTTATTATTAATAAGAAAGACAACCTTACTTTTTTCTTATAATTGAAGATGCAATGCCAGGATGTAAACAGGCATGTCTAATGATTTGCAAGCCATTAAGCTACTTCTGGTTTTTTGTGTTACCCACACTAGTAAGAATTGTCAGAGGAAACATTAAGATCTACAAATTTACATCTAATGTTAAACTCAGACTTACAAAAATCTCATTATATGGTTAAATCTTTTTAGAAAACAAATGTTCAAGAATCAACAGTTTTAAATGTACTAAAATTTTTATCTGTAAACAATCAGAAATTTTTCCCAGTGTTGTCCCAGCCTATAAAATATGACAGCTCTAGCCCTGGCTGGTGTGGCTCAGTGGACTGAGCATGGTCCTGTGAACCAAACAACCGTGGTTTGGTTCCCAGTCGGGGCACATGCCTGGGTTGCAGGCCAGTTCCCAGTGGGAGATGTACAAGAGGCAACCACACACTGATGTTTCTCTCCCTCTCTCCTTCCCTTGTAAAGATAAATAAGAGCTTTTAAAAAAAATAATAAAATATGACAGCTCTAGGAACAGTTGCACCAGCAGAAAGACTCTACTCAAAGTTATAAAAAATTATTCACAATCTTGCATTTGCCGAGAGCAACAGATACCACTTTCAATTATATTGACTGAAAATGAACTTGCTAAAAGTAACATTTTCACAACCTAATATATTTGTAGAAAAGGAAGACAAAAATACTTTACAATCAATCAAGATATCACAGCCCTGGCCAGTGTGGCTCAGTTGACTGGAGCATCACCCTATAATCCGAAAGGGTGTGGGTTCAACTCTCAGTCTGGGCTCACACCTGGGCTGTGGGTTCTGTCCCTGGTTATGGTGCATACGAGGCAACTGACTGATGTTTCTCTCTCACATCAATATTTCTGTCTCTTTCTACCCTCCGCCCTCCCCCCTCTCTAAAATCAGTAAGTGCATCCTCAGGTGAGGGGGGGGAAGATATTGCAGAGGTGTTATTCATTGTAATATATAAAGTTATAATAAAATATGACCTGCCAATTTATAAATTTGTTCTCAGAAAGCACTATTACTCCTATTATGTTCTAATGGGTTTTTCTTTTTTAAAGAGAAAGCTTTATTTATACTTTAAAACTTTTAATGGCAACTTTTCCTTTTAAAAAAATATTTTGAGAGAGAGGGGAAGGGAGACAGAGAGAGGAAGAAACATCAATGTGTGGTTGCCTCTCACATGCCCCCTACTGGAGACCTGGCCTGCAACCCAGGCATGTGCCCTGGCTGGGAATCAAACCAGCAACCTCACAGTGCATGCTGGCACTCAATCCACTAAGCCACACCAGCCAGGGCTTTCCTACTGTTTGAACCAAGGACTTCACAAATTCTGTGGCCAACCCTGGCTAGAAAACAAATACAGTGAGAGACATACCTTCAGGGTGGACTCAGGGAAGGCCAAAAACTCTGCTGAGCTCAGAGTCTACGGAAAGCCATTAAAATGAGGGGATAAAATCAGAACCTTTACAATTAAAACAGGAGTTTACAGTTCTAACAATTACCCCAAGATTGACTGTGCACACTCTAAACTTTGAAGGCCCCTACTGTAGAATATTCTTTTTTTGTCATTTTATAGTGGGCCTGATTTTTCCTGCAACTACAATAGATCTTGGCCTAAGAGTAAATCTATATCCCCTCTCCAGAATTAAGTTTATCGTTTTCCTAATAGCTCCTTCTCAAAAGCCTTTTTTACCCTTTATTTGCTAGCAAGGTTAAGCTCATTAGCAGTGATGAAACAATCTGCAAAAAATGGGATAACTGACATAAATGTAAAACTACAAACCCAGTCTTTACTCAGCCCAGCCAAGAGAGCTTTTAGTTTTCTTAAGATTTTATTTATTTATAGAGAGAGGGCAAGAGAGGTAGAGAGGGAGAGAAACATCAATACATGACGAATATTAATCAGTTGCTTCTCACATGCGCCCCATCAAATCCACAACCCAGGCATGTGGGCATTGAAGCAGGACCCTTAGCTCTGCAGGACAATGCCCAACCAACTGAGCCTCACCAATCAGAGCACTTTTAGTTTTCTTTGAGATAAAAACTATAGAACATTCAAAAAAGTCAACATACATTTTAGAAACATTCAATTTTATCAAAATCTTATTATTTGCAATTCAATGATTTTTTATATTGTAAAAAACTCAATCTATATTAAAACTTAGAAATTGAGGACACTTGACACATGCAATCCTATTCCCTATGTAACTATTCTTACAAATGTAGTATATGCCTTCCAAATCTGCTTCTATACACATACAAATATATACAGAGATTTTTATTTAGAAAACAAAAATACTCTGTTCTGCACTTTTTCCCTCACTTATTTTGAGCATCCTTCCATGTCTATTCGGATCTTTGCATTAACGAAAAACACACTCACACACAAAACTACCACATATTAGATCCACATTTCTTGAGAATTCCACAAAATTCCACTGTATAGAATATCACAGCTTATTCAAACAATTTCTCCCAACTAAACATTCATTTTGTTTCAGTACTGCAAGGTACAATATATAGACAGGGTCAGAAGACACAGATTTCTTTTTTCAGCCTCGCCCAAGGACATTTTTTTCATTACTTTTAGAGAGAAAGGAAGAAACATCCATGTGTGAAAAACATCAATTGGTTTCCTCCTGGATGCAACAGGATAAGATCATATGCACCCAGGGTGGGATCAAACCTGCAACCTAGGTATGTGCACTGACCAGGAATCAAACCCACAACCTTTCAGTTATGGAATGATGCTCCAACCAACAAAGCCACACAGGCCAGGGCAACATATAAATTTTTAAGGCTTTGGTACTTCCTACCAAAAACTTGTAACTTTTGTATAACTTTGACTAGCATTCTCTGTTTCCCCACATTTACAGTTTGAAATAATCCTTTTAATCATAGTTCTGGTTCTGAACTATGTATTCTTTCCCAGCTTTCTGTTCTCTTCCCATGACAGTGCTAAAATGTTTCAATTATTGCAGCTTTCGAATACATACATTTGAACAACTGGTACATCAAGTAGTCCCTCAAATCTTTTATTTATTTGTTTTTCTCTGGAAAGATTAAAAATATGCAAACTTCTATCTATTTGACATATATGAGGCGATGAGGTAGAATGGAAAGAAATCCAACTTTAGACCCAGGAAAGTCTTGAGTTGTAGACCTAATTGAGCAGCTAAGTAATTATGTAAACTCTCAACCTTGTCAATCTGTTGCAAGGAGTACTAGTGTGTAAAGCATCAAACAAAATATTGGGCATGTAATATTCAATCAACAAACAGCACTTACGACTATCACCCTCATAGGTGATAAAACTAGCTTTGCCAGGATAGAGCGAAAGCACAAGCAAGAACAAATACTGATACTCAGGACAGTGATGAAGGACACTCATCTTCTCTTATCAATGAGAGAAATAAAGCTGTAGTTTTGGGGTCACATACTCCTTCTGAAGTCTAATGAAAATGGGGCTCCTAGAGAAACTTTCTCAGTATTTAACAAAATTCTTTATGTCTGGAACCTTAAAAACCTTGTATTAAGAGGGAGACTAGGTAGTTTTTTCTGGACTTAACTGCAAGAGTCTGAACACATTATCTACTAAGTTTTGTGACAAAATTATTCACTTAACTTTGCTCAGAATGAAGCAATTAAATCCTGCTTTTTATTAGACTTCTCAATTTCACGGGAAGGTTGTATGTGAAAACAAATCTTGGTAAGTGAAACCACAAGCTGTGCTAGAATTAGTTCAAATATTTTTAAATGTGATGTTCAAACATATAACCTAAACACCGAACCAAAAAGAAAAAAGTCCAAAAGGATACCAAATCTGGCTGTAGTCAATTCTTAAAAAGGCTGAATCAATTCAAGGAATTAAATGAGGTTCAAAATTCCACAAAAAAAAAAAAAAAAGATGACTTCCTTGTCTACGAACAAGGAAGTCATCATTTAAAAAACAAAACTGACCCAGCAAATACACACACAGTTTAACGAGTAAATGAATATAGTTTATCCTGACTTCCTCCACCGAGGAATCCTTTAAACCCTTTATTCTTCGAAAACTCCCTGGGTAAATAACCTATTCATTTGTTTAACGTGTCGTGCAGAATGAAGAACCACTGGGAGTACCAGACAAAGTCTGGCACCAAGGTCCTTGGTCCCAAAGAGTCCACTCCCTCCTGCAGCCACTATTCCACGTGCTGGCGAGACGGTGGCCCCGAGGCGGCTGCAGGCCCAGAGACGCACTTGGGAACCCGAAACACCAGAGCTGCTAACAGCGCCAGGCCGGGCCGCCGGCCTCTGGGCCTCCGGGCCTCCCTCCCTCCCTCCCTCCAGTCCCGCTCCCAGGATGCGCGCAGTGCCGTGGACCCAGCACCCTGAGAAACTCTCATCCGGCTACCAAACATCCCCAGGATAGACAGCCCCCAAACGGGGGTCGATCAGCAGGACAGCGTCATAAGACTCCCATGCCACGCCACGCCACTGCTTCCCTCGTGGGCCCCCAGGCAGCCTGGCGGGACGGGACAGGAGTGGAGGCTGTAGCGGGACGGTGCGCTCACCATCAGAACTTTGGCTGCATTCTCCAGCTGAGCGATCACTTCTGGGGGGCCCAGCGTCGCCGCCATCATGGTCTCTCTTCAATGACGCGCCATCCAATGCATTCTGGGAGCGGCGCAGCTGCTCACCAATCGGCACACGCCCCGCCCCTGCGCTTCCCAGGTGGCTGGGGAAGGCGGAGTGGGGTCGCGGGTGGGCCGGGCTGCCTAGCCCGCACCGGGGCAGGTTGGGGGCAGGGAGGCGTGGACAGTGTCAGAAATGGGATTGAGGAGGACCGGTGGTTGGCTGTGCAGCGACGGCCACGTCTCAGAGCTCAGGTGCCACGCCGCACGAACCCGCAGTTCTCCCTCAGTGACTCCCAGCCTCCGTCACCCGCACCTGCACCAGCACCGAGCGGACGCCCGCCGTCTCCTGCGTGCCCGGCACATGCTGCCTTCTGCACCGGAGAGCGTCCTGAGGTCTGGATCCTGGGGCGCTCCCCCAGACCGTGCCTTCTGCACCCAGGCTTCCTGGCTTCGGCCTGCAACTCTGCACTCCGGAAGACCATGCGTAAGGCGTGGTCCCGGTGCGTTCGCACCACAAGCCACTGACACACTTGTGGGAAAACCCTTCACAGCCTGTACCGGAGAAGCGGAAGCAGACCTGGATTGACCGCCTGCTTCTCTCACCAAGTGAGAGCTCACAGCCTCCGGGCTTCCAGCTCTGTCGTGTTCACGGGATTCATCGTGTTAATCCTGGCCCATGTGGAGAAGCCGTTGGAGGCGCTACTAACGCACCTTGCACTTTTTCAGTGTGCTGAACAGCCGACTCAGCTTCTCTGACTGCTACAAATGGGTTTAGATGAGGGTGTATTTCGTTTGGAGTCCACATCCCTCTACCTATAAGGTCTACTTTTGCTGCTGTTCTTCTTCCTGGGACCCCACAGTGAGGAAAACGTGAAGATAGGGAATATATAAAATGAGATCACTTTAACCAAGCTGCTAAAAAAATTATTAACATTAGGAAGGTTGACACATGATGAAAGACTCCATTTTTGTTCTAACTAGCCCAGAAACTCAAACTTTTTCAACTTTTCAGTCTCAGAGGCTCAGCCCTCTGATTACCTCCCCGAAGGATTCACATGTCCAGACAACAGGACCAGACCGGACCTGATGGCCATCAACCAGGACACCTGACATTTGACTGATAACTGTCCTGGACCAATCCTAGGGCTAAAAATGCAGGACTGATAATTCTCAAGAACGCACTTTTTCTCCAAGAACTCTAATTTTCTTCTTTGGAACACTTCTGTGGTTTTATTCAGCTTTGTTCCAGGTTTGCAAGTCATGACACCCTTGAAAAAAATTCTTACTTATTTCTAACCAAAGCCTCCAGGCTCCTTTTGAATTTTCTTTTTTTTTAACATATCTTATTGATTATGCCATTACAGTTGTTCTATTCCCCCCTTCATTCCCCTCCTCCATGCACTCCCCATCCTCCACCTTTCCCCCCTTTAGTTCATGAACACGTGTCTCAAGTTCTTTAGATTCTATATTTCCCCTACTATTCTTGCCCTCCCCCTTGTCTATTTTATACCTACAATCTATGCTACTTATTCTCTGTACCTTCTCCCCCTTTCTCCTTCTCCCACTCCCCTGTTGCTAACCCTCCATGTGATCTGCATTTCTATGGTTCTGCTCCTGATCTAGCTGTCCCCTTAGATTGCTTTTGTTTTAGGTGTGGTTGTTAATAACTGTGAGTTTGCTGTTCTTTCACTGTTCATCTTTTTTATCTTCTTTTTCTTAGATAAGTCCTTTTAACATTTCATATCATAAGGGCTTGGTGATGAGGAACTCCTTGAATTTGGTCTTATCTGAGAAGCACTTTATCTGCCCTTCCATTCTAAATGAAAGCTTTGCTAGATAGAGCAATCTTGGTTGTAGGTCTTTGGATTTAATGACTTAGAATACTTCTTTCCAGCCCCTTCTTGCCTGTAAGGTCTCTTTTGAGAAATCAACTGACAGTCTGATGGGAACTCCTTTGTAGGTGACTGTCCCCTTATCTCTTGCTGCTTCTAGGATTCTCTCCTTCATTTGAATCTTGGCTAATGTAATGATGATGTGCCTTGGTGTGTTCCTTCTTGGGTCCACCTTCTTTGGGACTCTCTGAGCTTCCTGGATTTCCTGGAAGTCTATTACCTTTGCCAGATTGGGGAAATTCTCCTTTATTATTTGTTCAAATAAGTTTTCCACTCATGGCTGTTCCTCTTCCCCTTCTGGTACCCCGGTTTGGCTGAAGGGTTCGTTGTTGTCAGACTTCCATATAGTTCAATTTTCTGTGGTTTGGCTGCATTTTTGTTCCTAAACCTTTGTTGTTTTTAAACTTGGTTGTGTGAGAAGGCACAGTGCTTCCATCTACGCCTCCATCTTGGTGGAAATCTCCCTTTTGAATTTTCTTGACAACAGAAAATCAAATTCATTGCAGGGTTTTTAAGTTTCATCTGTTGAAATCTATAATTCTTCCTAGTTATTAGTAAGTCACACTTTTGAGGGCTTTTTTTATGTTGCTGCAACAAAATTGCATTATTAGGTCAATTGAAAATCAGGTTGTTTCATTTGGCATCTCTTACAACTTGAGGTTGAAAAAGTGAATTAAAAATTTTTATTGCTTGAGCAACAAAGTAAGTTTCATTTCACTATAAAAGGGTCAAATACGCCAAAATATAGGTGATAGTCTTTTTTTTTATTTTAAGAATTGTGTGAAATGAGCTCTGGCTGGTGTGGCTCAATAGATTGAGTGCCGGTGTGCAATCCGAAAGGCCGCCAATACGATTCTCAGTCAGAAGAGACTGAGTCACGAGAGACAACCCATGCCTGGGTTGTGGGTCAGGTCCCGAAAGGCAACCACACGTTGATGTTTCTGTCCCTCTTTCTCCCTCCTTTCCCCTCTCTCTAAAAATAGTTAAAAAATTGTTTGAAATGAAGTGGCTGAGATAATGACTTGAAATAAATATTTGACTATAATGTCTCCAGCTGCCACAGAGCATAATTCTGGCAAGTCAGTGGTATATCTGCAGAAGTGTAGATAAATGAATCATTTGTGACATTGAAGGTTTGAGGCCTATAATGCTTCATATTGGGCTTCTGCTCCAAAGCATTTGTTTTGTGCAATTATGTAAGAACTGTGCATCTAGACAGACTTTAAGAGGAAGAAGGAAAAGTATTTTAGCAAATGTGAGGGTGAATGTGCTTCTTCACAAATTAACTATTTTGAATTTAGAGGGTTTATAAAGTAGATTACAGACATCTCACATAACTGGGAGCCATGAATGTTAGGGTAAACATTGAAGTTGTAGAATCTCAATGGGGAAGTTCTCCTTTATTATTTGTTCAAGTAAGTTTTCCACTCGTGGCTGTTCCTCTTCCCCTTCTGGTACCCCTATAATTTGGATGTTGGAACGTTTAAAGATGTCCTGGAGGTTCCTAAGCCTCTCCTCATTTTTTTTGAATTCTTGTTTCTTCATATTTTTCTGTTTGGTCATTTTTTCCTTCCTTCTGGTCTGCTCCCTTGATTTGAGTCCCAGTTTCCTTTCCATTACTATTGGTTTCCTGTGCATTTCCATTCATTTAAATTAGTTTAGCCTTCATATGTTCCTCTAATTTGTGACTAAAATCACAAATTAGCATCCTGATGACCAGTGTTTTGAACTGTGCACCTGAAAGTTTGGCTATTTCTTCATCACTTAGATTTATCGGCTCTGGGGAGTTCTTCTTGAGCCATGTTTTTATCTGTCCGCGCCTGTTACGTATGAGGAGAGGTGCCTTAAGTGTTCACCAGGGCGGGGCCACCCAGGTCTCTGGTTTGTGATGCTGTACGTGGGGGCAGGGTCAAAGAGGGAGTAATGGCGGTTCTCTCCGCTCGCCCAGTCCGCCTCACTGCTCGCCCCCTGCCTGCTTATCGGAGCGCAAGTATGCGAGCCTGCGGCCCTGCACTGGCTGCCGGGGCCTGTGCGATCTGTCTCAACGCTCACCTCTTCACTGGTTTATCTGCATGCAAATGTGCGACCCACTGCAGACAGCCAGCCATGCCTCCTCCCTGGGTTCTGCCCATAGCCAGCCTGCACCTGGAATCTGCACCCTCGGCTGCCTCTGCACTACCGTGCACCGCCCAGGTCGGGAGATCTTTTTTGCCTGACCCGCTCCACCCCTCTCATAGGTTTAGCTGAGCAGTTTGTTGTTTTCGGACTCAGTATTCAATTTTCTGTGTGGTTTGTTTTCAGTTATTGTTGTTAAAACTTTGTTGTTTTTAAATTTGGTTGTGCGAGGACACAAAGTGTTTCCACCCATGCCTCCATCTTGGCGGAAGTCCTAAAACAAGTTACATCTTTCTTCCCTAAAACAATGTATGAAAGTGCCAGGACAGCACATGTGTTCGTCTTCCCCAGCTTGCCCTTCTGCTTGTGGTTTAGACTGTACAATCCAGTGTTGTAGACCGCTCTGCCTGGTTCTAGGAATTGTATCTCGACCCCTTGTGGCTAAGGGCGAGGGACGACCTTTGGAATTCGAGCCACAGGAGACAAAGCTTGTCTCTGGTAGCAAATGCTGTCTCAGTTTCCTCTCCCTGCCCCCAAAGCTTGGTCCGAAGTCAATGACTGGTAAGACCCCTCACAGCGGGGGGCAAACTAAGCCAGACTCAGTCACTTGGGACGCCTTCATGGAAGGACTTGGGGGGCTGCAACAAAGAGCAGTGGACTCTCCCCACCCCACCCCCAGCACCGCCTCCCTCCTCCCCGGCAGGCTTTGTCAAAGCCGAGTCCCCATGTTCTCTGGGAGAAGCGCTTCCTGGCTCTAATCCCCTTAAACCCGAATACCTGTTGGGGAGAGGTGCAGCTCCTTGCCTTGTTAGAGCATGTCCTGGGGAAAAATCTGGCATCACAAAGACTTCCTGATAAACCTGTGAAATCTGCTCTGCTAAGAGTGCTTTCATTCATATGTGAAGGGTTCGAGCAGGAAATCCTAAAACTCTGTTCCTGACAGACTGACTCATAGTAAGCCCTCACATTTCTTTGAAATGTTATCTGCTGTTAGATCCTTGCTGCCCTATATTTCTGTGTATTACAACCCAATAAAAGGCCCTGGAGGAGAGGGCTCAAAGCCTTTTTCTCAGAGAAACTGGCCACTGCTGGCCT